GCAGCTTCTTACTACTCCAAATTATGCAAATAAAAACTTTCTCTCTCTAAAGGTCTGCACAGGCCAACATGTCATATCACAATGTCAATAAAAGCAATGATCCTAGATATTTACCTCTCCCATAATAATACCTAGTTAACAGAAAAGCCACCTTTTTAAAAAACTTAACAGATATTTCAAAATTTAGAAAACAGACATTTATCAAGATCATTACCTACAACTTATTAGACGTTCTTATTAGAAGTTGAGAATTTCATAAGGTTGAATGATTTATCAAGTCATTTAAGTTACTCTGTATCTGTGGTATTCTATATTATTACAGTTTACCCATGTAAAACTAACTTAAGTTGTCTTGTTAAAAATATAAATTCATGAGAGCATCTCTAATTTACTTAAAATACATGAGTGGCTGTTACCTGGTAATCAGCTGCATTTTTGCATGACGTTCAGTCTGACTGTGTTTAGTGGGAAGTGATAGATAAACTATTTGAGAATGCATTTCTACAGCAAAGACAGTAGCTTCTGATCTGCTTCTCTAACTTCCTCCATAATAGAAATAATGACATAAACCTTAATCTTTTATCAATTTCATTTCAATGGGGCACTCACCTTGGTACAAAGACTTGCTAGCAAAACTGTTGATAAGATATGTCAGCTTCTGAGCTGGGAATTATCAGAGTCAAATAATGTTATTTCTTTTTCCTTCACAGTGGAACACCCTGACAAGATGGCGAATGACCAAGGTATGTGGCTTCAATCTGTCATTAGTATATAGTTTTTTTATTTGCATCACTCCTGTTAGACATGCCAGTCATTACTTTGTGTTCCTCTTTTCTCCTGGGCCATACACCTGAGGAAGCAGATATTGGCGTGATAATTAATCTTGTTAATGAAGTTCTGCTTGGCTGAGACTGTGGCTCTGATAGAGGAGATGTAAATTTTCTTGAGAGGAAATTGTTTTGTCTCTATTCTGAAGGACCAATTAAAATGTCAAGCTTCTTCGTACGAAATAAATTTTTAGTCTCTGTCTGCACTTCTGAATAATTCACATTAAGTATAATTAAGCTCAGCATAATTTTCAAGCTGCTCTTGCCCCCTTTCGTGAGCTATGGATTAAAGTTCTCTTGTTCTACTGAGAAAAATCATAACTCATGTGTGCTTTTGCTCCACAATGAGCTGCTTTTACTCAGTATAAACAAGGGTGGGCCAACTTTTGTTCAGGACATTTCCATTGTTCATCATGAAATCACCAAAGTTTTTCACTCTGTAAACCAGATGCTGAGCTCACTTGGGCTCTTTCCTTTTCCATTCTTTTACTAACCACTAATTTGTATAAGGAGAGAAGGATAATTCTGTGCAGAACAAAGTAGAGATAAATTGGAGTTATCCATCAACTTCCAGGTAGATAAGAATTTGGGCTCATCATTATTGTACCATAAGTTACTTGATAAGCCACAGAGTACATGATAAACCATCAACTAAATCATATGCTGTAGACAGCAAGTTAATTCTTCATTTCCTTTAAAACTAGAGAAATTTGTGGAATGATGAGGGAGGAAAAACAACCTACAGGGTTTATTTGTTCAGCCTGGTGTATTTTAGTACAGGGAGAACTGGCAATGCTAGTAATTCCCATGATCACTGACCTCCATCTCCAAACAGCTACACATCTACAGCTTTTGGAGATCATTGCCCACTTGGAATCCTACTGTCAGTAAATCTCATATTTACCCAACACATCTCTGAGGACACCTTGTTCTAAAACTGGGCAAAAATATTCTTTTGAAACTCAAACATGATGCTTCAAACTTTGACAAATACTGAATTCCTTAATAATTATCAGTAGTCTCAGAATTTTTGCAAATTGTCAGTTTCTTTTTTAAATTTTCAATAGTACCAGGAGAGGCATCCACTTCCTAAACAACATGTCTCTGAAAATTCTATATACTTTGAGAAATGACAATAGTTATAGAAAGGCTTCAGGTCTTTTCTTCATAGGGTCACTATGAGTCCTGCTTCACTCAATCACAATTAACAACAAGAAGAATATTAATTTAAATTCAAAAAAGAAATCATGTATAAGACCATTATTGTAGAATGAGTACAAAGATCCAAGGAGGGGATGGGGGCTTAATTATAGGGTCACACAATTTGAATGGGTAAAGGGAGTGATGGGTAAACAAAGGGGGGAAAATTTGGTATGAAAAACGAGCTCACTATGGAACAGACCACCAACTACTCATATGCAAATTCAAGCTGAAGCTGAGGAAAATTAAACCAAATCCAAGGCAACCAAAATGTGACTTTGAGTCTATCCCACCTGAATCTCAGAACCATCTCAGAAACAGGTTTGAGGCTTTGAACACTAATGAGCGAAGGCCAGATGAGTTGTGGGAGGATATCAAGGGTATCATCCAGG